ACGTGCATGACCAAGCAAGAGATTATTGAAAGTTAGGACATTATTTATACGCAACATTAAATTTAAGATACCATAACTATAACATCAATATATCATAATAATAACTAAATCTTTATGATTCATGATAGGGATGTGTGTAGGTTGTGTTGGGTTGAGTTGGATTGGATTGGTTTTTAAACCAATCGAAAGCAGAATTGAACTATTCAAGTTGAATATTTTCGACTCAAAGTAACTCAAAATTAGGTGTAAAATAGAACCAACCCAAATTGATCGATCTTGGGTTAGTTTAGATTATGCTTTGGTCTGACTCACACTCTCACTATGTTAGTGGCCTAAGTTAGACAAGACGTAAAAACATGTCATAGTCTGCAAAAGCCCTACACAAGACGAGTCTATAAATATAAGTCTCACACTCTTGGTACTATACTCGCGTCACGTTCTATGGATTCGAGTCACTTGATCATATTTAAACACTTTAGACAAAATGACAAATTAATGAGAGAGAGCACCATTTTGCTTACTCATTCGTCTCACAAAGTCACACATTTTCTCTTTCAAAAACTACCATTACACAGAATTCATTGCTATTTTCATTCCAATTTCGGTAATGCGAATATGCATTTTGTGGGCAAAAAGAAAAAGTAGTATAAAACATCCAATTTGGATCATAGAATTTGATGATAAACCGAATTATTCCTACCCTTAATTTCAATGCTTGGCTTGGATATTACTCAAATCTTCATCACCAATGAACTCGACTGGCTTACAGTTGCTCACATTTATGATAAGATAGCTTACTAGACCAATCTCCAGAGTTTTAGAAAGAAGCTCGATTTGCAGGCCCCCTAGGTTTCCTGACTAGCTTCATATTTCTTGACTCGGCAAGAGACTGTTGCAAATTAAAGCATTATTTGCATGTTGCCTTAACTTCGAGATACCTTAACTTTAGAGTCCATATATCACATTATTTCTTTGATCTACGATGATCGATGATCCTCTCTTAGAGCTAGGCTAAAACTCATCAACATCTCATGCCTCAACAATCATCTCGCGAAGTCCTTCTGGCTTGCCATCCCTTATCTTGAATCCCTCATGATGGTAGGACTCTCTCTCTCTCTCTCTCGTGTCCAATTTCTGGTGGGAGGAAAGAAGATAAAGGGGAAAATGCACTGGGTTTCTTGGGAAAAATTGTTACCCCGAATCCGATGTCTTGGTTCCAGGGATCTAAAAGCATATCACATTATTTCTTTGATATACGACAATCAGTGATTCTCAATCTATAGAATATGAGTGTGTTCTACATAATATATGAATTATTTTTGCTCCTATTAATGCCTCTCAGTAATTAAAGCATCGGGATGGTTGGTCGCATAAGACAACCAATATGAGTGTGTTCTATATAACATACGACTTAATGTGCAATATTAGACAATAATTGGATTTGGATTTTTTTTTCTTTTTCTTTTTGTTTACAGTACTATTTATTTTGCCTAGTCTTATTGAGCATGCCGGTGCTTATTCCTTAGACTCACTTAAAAGTTAGTAGATAAGTGAAACTTTGGAATTTGGATGCAACAAAGTTTAGTTTTAGAACTTTAAATTTAAAAGGAAAAATTACATAGACCTCTCGCGAGATTTCTGACAATTTCAAAAACACCAAATCCTTTTAGAAAATTACGTAAATCTTTTTTAGTTTTAAGTTTTTAATAATATTTACCTCATTCTCTCACTTTTATTTCACACATGAGTAAATATACTAGTGGTAACGCCTAAAATACACTCATGAACTTTCTTCCATCACTTCTATTTCACATTATAATCTGAGATATATTACTATGTGACATCACTATCAAGCCTTGAAGTCTCTTGTCGAGCGCGACAAGGAATATTACACAACGTTGAGGGGCCCTTGAGCCTAAAGGGAATACATTGACGCTGGGAACAGATTTTGACGAGAAACTGAATAATAGTCACCATGAATTCTAATGCTCGAGCTTGGATATTACTTAAATCCTCCTCGCCAACGAGTTTGTATGTACTAGAGGTGTAGTAGCTGCTTCACATGTACAACCAACCTTCAAAATATATGCAAGAAGCTCAATTAGTAAGCCCTTTAAGTTACCTAACTAGCTTCGACGTACTTGATCGATTATAAGATTATTGCAGATTAAGAAATTACTTACATGCAATCTTAAATTCGAGATATCATAACTTTAACATCAATATATTGCTATAAAAACAACGTTGAGGGGCCCTTGAACCTAAAGGGAATACATTGTCGCTGAGAACAGATTTTGACGAGAAACTAAATAATAGTCACTGTGAATTCCAATGCTCGAGCTTGGATATTACTTAAAATCCTCCTCACCAACGAGTTTGTATGTACGAGAGGTGTAGTGGATACTTCACATGTACAACCGACCTTCAAAATTTATCCAAGAAGCTCAATTAGTAAGCCATTTCAGTTACCTAACTAGCTTCGACGTACTTGACCGATTATGAGATTATTGCAGATTAAGAAATTACTTACATGCAACCTTAAATTCGAGATACCATAACTTTAACATCAATATATCGCTATAATAACTAAATATTTATAACCTATGAAGGGGTCGGCGTGGGTTGGTTTGGGTTAATTTTAAACGAACCCAAAGTCGATCTGAAGAATTCAAGTTAAATAATTTTCAACTCAAAATCATACTAAACAGTTTAAGTTGAATAGTTTCAACCCAAATCAACCCAAAATTGGGTGTAAAATTGAACCAACACAAATTGATCGATCTTGGATCAGTTTGTGTTGGTCTTGAGCCCAATTAATGTTGTTAAAAACTTATAATATTTGGACCTTGAAAAATATTTAGACGCTCTTCAAACATAAAAGTGAAGAAAAATCTAACCATAAAGATAACTCAATAATGAGAGAAAGGTATTGGTGATTTGTAAAATTTATTCAAATTATAATTATAGTAATTTTTTATATTTCTCGATTTGGATTGATTTTCTTTAATAAAATTGCAAACTAATCTAACCTGACTTAATTCTTCTAAGGAAAAATCAAATCGAACCATATGAAAAATATTACAAAAATAGACCCAACCCAACTCGTTTGAGTTTTTCGGTTTCACAAGATAGAGTCCACCACTAGGGTGATCAACGTTATAAAATGTGATTGTGTTCTGACACGTGTTGATTGTGTTCTTGTTAAGTCCCTTGATTAACTTAACATATTTAGTTCTTGTTTGATTTTGTTAAAAATCATATTTTTATTAGATTTTATAAAATTTGATAAAATATGGTTAAAATTAATTTCTTTATTTTAATTTAGATTTTTATTAATTTTTTTAGACAAACCAAATAGGGGCTTAATTTACAATATTAGGTAATAGAAAAACTTAAGTTGAATAAGATTTGAACTTATTTTTCATATTAGTATTTAATCTCATCAAGCTATTTATCCCTCGTGTTACTTATTTATTGGCTCACTTAAAAGTATGTAGATAAGACCAACTTTGAATGCAACCAATTTTAGTTAGAACTATAAATTTCAAATTGTAAATATAAATTATGATGCAATAATTACAAGTTTCTATGCTTTCTTTTACACGACTAGAAAATAATGTTGTAATAAAGATTTGTTGGTGCACTTGGAATCCCATCAGGTGCTACTAGTCCACGTGTGGCGGTCGCACGACATTGCTGCAAGAGGAGAAGACTAACATCGAAATAGAGATGGTGGGCGGGTAGAGAGATGGATAAAGAGAGGACGTAGGGAAATGAATTAGGGTTTGGGTGTAAAATTGGTTTGGGATAAATGTGGTGGTGTGGCTTTGGGGTGGGTGTGTAGATAAATATAATTTTGTAATATTATTATTAATATTTGAAAGATAATAATCATCCGATTTTTGAACAAAAATTCTTTCAATCTTATTTTTGAATTGAAAACTTAAAAACTTTGTGTGGATGTAATTTTCACTTTTCTCAAACTTTAATTTGCATAAAGGAGCGGCCCAAACTATCAAAGGCAAAATCTGTACAATAAACGGGTCAGACCATGTTGAGCCAGTCGAACCGATCTTGACCACTAACATCACTCTCTTCGCTAGATTTGAATTAAAATTAGATTTTAAATAAATTTTGATAAAAATTAAAGAAATACGTGGTTAAAAANGCCACGTTAAACAAACCTGGGAAGTGGGAATCCCCAAACCTTGTAGGGCAAAATGGTAATTGAAGTGAGAGTTCCATTTTCTTCGTTCTTCGCACTGACAAATTTCTCGCGAACAAATTATTGAACCGTTGCACAGAAATCGCCCACGATTTCATCCCATTTACGCACGAACCTAGCATACACCTATATATGCCTATTGTATATATGTTGGATTTGAACATGCAACCATCGATTTTGATTTCTCGGTGACGTTTCTTGTAAATGAATCCAATCCGTGATTTACATTTTTCAATATTTAATTTTTGGAATTAGTGCTATTTATCCGTCAATTGTATGTAAATCAATTTATTGGAGTTTTATTTTCTGTTGGTGCAGATTTTCACGGTGCCTGACCTGACCAGTGAAATACGTTTCAATTTTTCACCCACATCAGTATTGACTTCAATTGCAACTGGTTAGATGTACGTTTATATGATTAGTTTGTATGTAGTTGTGATTGCATGTTTAAATTCAGATGTATATATTGTGTTTCTTGCTGAAATGAATATTTTTCTATTGTGTGTGACTGTGTGATTTGTGTGACGTAAATATGTATCCATTTAATTTGACAATTTATGCAATTTTTTAAGAACATTTTTTTCTTCTTTTTCAGGCTTAATTTGTATCTTTATTATGGTTAGCTATTTCTCTATTTTTATGCTTGCATCATTTGAAACTTTAGCCCACTCGAAAAAGAATTTTGTTTATTTTGACTTTAGATTTGCCTTTTCTTTTCATCGTCAATAATTTTTCTTCACCATTGGGTTGGTGGAATTTTGATTATTGACAGATAATGGTGTCATTGTTGAACAGTGGATCATCCTGTGAGAACCCGAACAAGAAGCCAATGCAAAATAGTAATGTGCCCAAGTACAAGCCTAGGAAAGTCTCTGCAGTTCGGGATTTTCCACCTGGGTGTGGCCCAAATGCTATGCCAGTAGATTTGAAGCTCAAAGAAGAAAATAGCAATGGTGTTAAGAATTCTGAATTGGCTTATATGATGGAGGCAAATGGAGTTGAAAATTCTGTAATGGCCAACATTGTGGAGGCAAATGAGGTTAGGGATGCTGAAATCTCTCAAGTTATGATACCTGATGCGGTCAATAATTCTGAAATAGTAAATGTTGTGGTGCCTAGTGGTGTCAAATTCCCTGAGATTGAGATTGAGGGTTGTCAAGACATAGTTGTGAATAATCCTGTTGAAATAGAAATGACAGAATCAGCGGATGTGCTGGTGGGAGAAGTGGTGACCACAGCCACAGATGATTTATCAAATTGGGTTGAAGAACTGATGATGGGTACTAGAACCGTTGGGGTTGAATTGCAGAATGACGTAAAATGTAATTCAATGAAGGAAGTTGACCAGGCTGAAGGTCAGAAGACTATTCTAGAGGATACAGCTTCAGAGGAAGCGAAACCTGGCCTGGATATTGGTGGTTCAATTGACAGAATGGATTCACTGGGTGGTTCTCAGTTCTCATTGTCACCCAAGGGATCAACTGCTAAGGGCGTTAAGATAGGAACTTCCTGTAGGCGTGAGGATAAATTCCGTCGTAGAAGAGTGTCTGCGGTTCGTGACTTTCCTCCTCTCTGCGGTAGAAATGCCCCTCAACCAACTCAAGAAGAAAGGCAGACGGTTGCTTGTGGAAAAGATTGTCTTGATGCCATTGAAAATATTGAAGTGGAAACGGATGTGACTCAGAAGTTGAGGAATAATCCGGATAGAGAGGCATTGAGGGAGGTTCCAATGATCTCTGGAACCAAGTCTTTGGAAAGAGTTGAAAAGATTGAAGTCAAGTCAGAATCAATTGGAACAATGAGAGATATTGCAGAAAGAGGGTCATCGGGAGAGATAGTGACGGGTGTTGCCAAAATCGAAGCTTTTCACAATGTGGCAGGGAACACTTTAAAACGTGGGCTAACGAGAAAAACAATTGATGACAGTTTTGAAGAATTTGAAATTAGTTTACAGGATGGTTATTTCAAGGAAACAAATCGAAGAGGAGCTCCATCAGGTTCAAGGACCACGTCCAAACCAGTTCTTGATTATGCTGATGTGGATACTGGAGGACCAGTGGGGAGGGATATTGTTGTTTACTCAACAGACAGAAGTGATAAAGCAAGGACTTCACAACATGCTTTTATCTCAGGGAATGGAGTAGATTTGGTGATTGTACATGCCCTGATGGCTGCACCAAATTGTCCATGGACAAAAGATAAGTCAGCTTTTAGTAATTCAAGTGGAGGAAATGTTAGGAAGCGGAGTTCATCTTCACAAGAAAAGTCCAAACCGGTGGCCAAAAAAAGTGGTATTAAAAGAGAAATTTCAGGAGGACCCTCCCTGAAGAAGAAAAGAATTCCTGTTTCCAGTGGAAGCCCAGGTGCACTGATCATCTGGGATGAAAAAAATAATGGCGCTTGCGATGAAGGTGTACCTGCAAATTCTCCTTCCAGCCATAAACCACGTGATTTTGATGTTAGCCTCCCTCCTTTTGGTCCCAAAAGCTCCAGTCACACTGATATCCGCAATAGAGTGAGAGAGACACTTCGATTATTCCATTCTATTTGTAGAAAGATCTTGCAAGGAGAAGAAGCAAAGTCAATACCCGAAGAGGTAAGGAAGTCGAAGCAGCCTGAGAAATCCAAGAGGATTGATCTTCGTGCAGCACAAATTATAAAAGATAGAAAAATGGAAGTTAACACAGGAAAGCAAATTTTGGGAGAAGTGCCTGGAGTTGAAGTAGGCGATGAGTTTCAGTACAGAGTGGAGCTTGCTATTGTTGGCATTCACCGCCTCTACCAGGCAGGTATAGATTCCATGAAACACAATGATATACTAGTTGCAACTAGTATCGTTTCTTCTGGGGTTTATTTTGATGATACTGAAGATGCTGACGTCTTGAAATACTCTGGAGAAGGTGGAAACGTTGTTGGGAAGAATAAGCAACCCGAAGATCAGAAGCTTGTGAGAGGAAATTTGGCGTTAATGAATAGTATAGCAGCAAAAACTCCAGTTCGTGTTATCCGTGGATGGAAAACAAAACCTTCTGATTCTTTGGATTCAAGATCTAAGCTAGTCACCACCTATGTTTATGATGGCTTGTATACAGTGACAGAGTGTAGGGAGGAAGAAGGGCCTCATGGTAAGATGGTTTTCTTGTTTGAGCTGAGGAGGAATCCTGGTCAACCTGAGCTTGCCTGGAAAGAATTGAAGAAATCTAATAAGCACATAGTCCGGCCCGGTATTTGTGTCAATGACATTTCAGAAGGAAAAGAACCATTATCCATATGCGCTGTGAATACTTTAGACAATGAGAAACCTCCACCATTTAACTATGTTCCCAAGATGTTGTATCCCGCTTGGCACCAACCCGTTGCCCCTGAAGGCTGTGATTGTTCAGGGAGATGCTCGGACTCTAGAAAATGCCGATGTGTGTTAAAAAATGGAGGTGAAATTCCTTACAACCGCAACGGGGCTATTGTTGAAGCGAAAACTCTTGTATATGAGTGTGGTCCTTCCTGCAAATGCCCTCCTTCTTGCTACAACAGAGTCAGCCAACGTGGTATTAAATTTCGGCTTGAAATATTTAAGACAGAATCAAGAGGCTGGGGTGTAAGGTCCCTAAATTCTATTCCTTCAGGAAGCTTTATATGTGAGTATGCAGGAGAGCTTCTCGAAGACAAGGAAGCTGAACAAAAAATTGGCAACGATGAATATTTGTTCGATATTGGACAGAATTACATGGACTCTTCCCTGAGGCCAGAAGAACCAGGGAATTCAGTTGAAGTTTTTCAAGAAGGTGGCTATACAATTGATGCGGCCCAGCATGGAAATATTGGAAGATTTATCAATCACAGCTGTTCACCCAACCTTTATGCTCAGAACGTGACATATGATCATGATGACAAAAGAATGCCTCATGTAATGTTTTTTGCAGCAGAGAACATTCCTCCCTTGCAGGAGCTTACTTATCACTACAATTATACAATTGATCAGGTTCGTGATACCAACGGAAATATCAAGATTAAGAAATGCTATTGTGGTACTGCAGAATGTACAGGTAGGATGTATTAAGTTGGTATGATATTTGTCAAGTTGGGTATATCTATTTCTCAATATGAGCTGCTTTATCCATAATTTGCAGGACTAAGTAATGGGCTTTAATTTCTCTTTCTATCACATTTTGGCCGGATGTGCCTCACTGCTGCTGAACTTGTTGTAACATCGAATGTACTGTCCGGATGGATTAGGTGATCTGTAATTGTAAAATCTGGGTGTTCAAGTTGTGGGATTCCTTGTTACTTGATGTGAACATTTTGTAGCTTTAACTTTGTTTGATTGAACAAATTTTGTGATAGTCTAGGTTCTCTATTACTTCGTATACAATGCATTTTTAGTATGTAGATGGTGATGTTGTTGAACTTGAATATCAAATGCTCCTTCCACAATTTGGCATGATTTCTTGTAATCGCGCTTCATATTCATGTAACTCATGATCGATGCAGATACGGCCTTTTACTTACACTAGAGAAGAAGGTAAAAACAACTGGCCCTTGTTATTTTTTACCGTCTAGAGGTGTCTGGATCAGTAATAAGACTGAAAACTTGTGACTGCGTGAATTATATTATTTCAGTCAAATTGTCGCGATGTTCTATTATATTTTTTCCTCTTCCATTTTCTTGTCCTAAAATGTTTTGGCTTCTCAATTGTGAGTCTTGATAAAAGTCTGAACTTTGTTGTTTGGTTTAAGATGAATTGAACTTGTAAAGAAATGGCGGCTCATTGTATAAGTTACTTGACATTGGCGAAGGGTTGAATGTTATCTCCCCTCCAGTTCATTCTGAGAACCATGCATGTAATGTATTGTTAAGTGTTACTTCAAAATTTTAAATGCATTATTATGTTAACTTATGCATCTCTCTAAGTGTATTTTTGCTTCATTGATATGTATACTGGCTGTATTAATTTAACCGAGAGTTAGATTTTGGACTAAATTTGTAACTTTAATTATTTGGAATATGTTTTTCTGACCTTTAAGACTATTAGGTTTCATATTTGCCACAACTTACAGCTCTCATTCTCTGCTTTATGCTTGGATTTCTTCATGAGGGCTTAAGCCTTAATGCGAAAATGCCAGAAGCTGGTTTTCCTCTACATGAGTGTATCTCTGTCGTTATTTTGTATGGTTCTGGTTTTAGATTTTTCCTTTTTTTCACTATTATAAATGAATGTATTGTATTTGTGGCCATTTGCTAAAGTGTCTGATCTCTCATCAAATCTCTCATCAAATTTGCTTCTTTCGATATTGAATTTGTGTTTCTTTTTTCTTTTTCGAGTTCATTGGTTGGATTTTTTAGCGAATATTTCTCTGTTTTATGCCCAATTTTAGTATTTGCTTAAAATTTATGTAGCGCCATGAAGGATTGCTTGGAGAGAGTTTGTCTGTCTTTGTCGAATCTGTGTTAAGTTTGTTCGCATTGGATTTTTGTTCGGTGTAATGCAATCTTAGTAGAACATATTTGAAGAGAGAAGGGCGGATAAAAATTAAGGTCTAAGAGCAGCTCCAAGAGACTCTAAACATGATCTCTATTTTAAAGAGTCAACATTTAAAATCATACTCTAAGAAACTCTTTAAATTAACATTTTAATTTATAGAGTAGATTGGAGAGCCGCACTCTCTATAATTAAATGCATGTAAAATATTTCAATTTTCAATGTACGAAAACAATAAAATAATCTAAAGAAAAACTAGTTGAAATAAAAGATAAACAAAAATAATAAATATTATTTTGGGAGTATTAAATTTAAGTGTTAAATATAAAGAACTTGTTGGAGTTTAACTCTCTAAATTTATAGATGCTCTTCAAATGATAGAATATACTCTTTAAAAATAGTGAGTCTATTGAAGATGCTTTAAAATAGTTATTATAATCGCTTGGATCTTTTCAATGGTGAGAAATTGTTCATATAGTCGATCTCAAATTTATTGTAAATAAACTTCGTTGTTATTGTGGAAATAAAGATGTGACAATGGATTTGTGTTCATAAACAATAAATGATAATATACATCAACAAATGAATGTGAAATTGATCGAAAGAATAAATTATGAGAAAGAACATGGAGATAGTTAGACAAACATTTATAAGATTGATTAGAAAAGGGTCATGGTGAACCAATACTTAGCCCCCGTTTGGCTCCCATTATTTCAAATTATAATTTTTGGAATAGTATTTTTTGGAGAATGAGTAATTGGAAAAAAAAAAGCTTTTGATTTACATATATACTATTTAATAAAAATTGTGTGGTTGAAAATAAGTGAGAAGAATAAATTTTTGGGATAATGAGGGACAAACGGGGGCTTAAGAATAATTTTTTTGTAGGCGTAAAAATGAACAAAACAGTAAATTATATACTAGAAGACAATGAAAAACATTGAAAACGTGACCTATAGATTCAACTACCTTCCTACGACGAAAAATGTAAGCTTTAAACATGCAAATGATATGGAGACTCTCCTTGTGAATTGCCTCAATTGATACCACCTTCAAAATGCTTTATGAAGGTTGACATTACCCATCATAAGTAACAGTAAAACGGGCAAATGCAATCTAGTAAGGGCAACCAAGTACAGATCGATGACATACATACAAGGCCCTGATACAAGACCATAATGTCAAATTAGAATAGGCATAAGCTACACTAGTCGACTTCTTGAATCATTTTTTCACTACTTTGTCCGGTTCCTTGTAGATCTAGTGAAGATGCATAACAGCCTGATCCTTGACAACTATAATGAACCGTGTTGGAATTGGTCTAGCATCCTCTTTTTTCTCGTGTTTTACTAAAATCGAGTCACTTTTGTAGTGATTAGCTTCTTTAAATCTATGCATTACATTTCCTATCAAGGCATTTCAAGAAAAGAGATAAAAACAGGTATATTCGCAAAAGCCATTTATACTAATTCATAAAGATCCATCAAGGCTAAAAACATCAACCCCTGTTCCAAGCATAGAACAGAGGATAAAATCCAGGAACACATAGCATCAAAGGCTATCAAGACTCTCTTCCATCATTGATCGAAAGTCGGGATTATGTAAATCAAAATTTGAAGGTAGTTTATATTACCCACCAAGACCATGAGAGACGAAACTTGAACAGCATATAAGGTATAAAATGATCATCGAAGGCTGCCGACAGATACACAAACAGCTCTCGATAAACAGAAGATCGGAGGTTTATACTGGTGGTTTCGTCGATCATGGGCATAGTGCAAAAGAAGATGCAATCTCAGTATCCTATGCAGATATAAACAAGCTGCTCTCAAAACTTTCTTCCCTGCCGTTTGGATAAACAAAGTTTTCAGAAGAATTATTGCTTGTTTTCTCCACCTCTTCATCAATCAAAATAACCTGTGAACGGCAACTCCAACTGCAAAATGCTTTCTCACCTCTGAAGAATATTAACACAACCAAAAACCAGTCAAAATCTTGTAGTGCATTGGTCCATAGTACTGGACGTGACAATATTAAAATAAATATAAAAAAACTAAAATCTTGTTTCAGAGTACTGTCGAGTCTATCCAGTCCCATCCGCTTAACAAACACGTTGATGACCTAAAGTGTTTTGTACATCTGCTGAGGTAAGTATTACTGTTGCGAAGGCAAAAAAACAAATAGAAGAAAAGGTTTATTGCTGCGAACCTGTACATGTAAACATCTTCCCCTTCCAATTTCTTCTTGCAAGAGTAACAAAATTTCAAGAAATCACTGGAGGGATAAGAAGGAAAAACGTCAGAGCATTCAGCCGCCTGAGGCAATGGAATTTCCTCTAAAGTTTCCTCGAAAACGTCGGCTAATTTGTCGTGACATTCTAAAATGCAGTCACCAAAGATGTGAGTAACTTTGGGGTTAGGGCCATGTGTTCTCACACAGGTATAATCCTCAGAAAGCTCAACCTCCCTTGCCGGAACAGAACCAATAAAACCAGATCCACAGCTAATTGATGCCGGAATTGAACTCAGCTTCGTTACAGATGAATCACCTAACTTTGATTCTGAAAACATGTGGCTTATTGCATTCTTGGAATTCAAATTACCAGACAACCTTCCAGAATCTAATGAACAAGAGTGAAGATTTTTATCAAACTGCTCTGGCTCAGATGGAGCTCCTCCAATTTCGAACAAGACATTAGAATTGTCCTTTATGTGATTGGGTGGTTTCGCCACGTCATTTGGAAAAATGGCAACATTTTTCGGCAATGATCTTGGAACTTCAAGAGAATCGATGCAACCTCGAAAATTTGCATTTGATATCCTCATTTTTGGTCCAAAAAGAATATTTTTACTATCAGATGATCCGATAACCTTCCCCGAGTATTTACTTTCATTGTAAAGAGAATCTATAATACTTAGACCGACTTTGCTACAATCCCAGCTCTTTTGATGCACCTCATTTGATGATCTTCGGGGCTTAAGTGGATTGCCCATATTAGAGAAAACCTTATAATCTAATGGGGAAGTCGGGCTTCTCTCTGAATCGGATTCTGAACTCCTAGGATTGAATCCCACAAATACCCCAGGGACGTTAAAATACGAGCTATTTGTATGTTTTTGACCAAAAATAACAGAGTGAAATTTAGACTCTGAACTGGCATCAGAAATCAAGTGATCCCTGTGTTGATCTTTGGGGTTCGATCCGTTCGTTGCCCTTGACATAATCTCAAAACTTCAAACCCTTCAAAATACACCTAAAACCTCTACCTGTATCAAAATCAATAAATTCCTTCAAAAATTATTACATTGCCCATATAAGTTAATGCAGGTAATAGAAGGGGTAAAAATACAGCAAGAAAGATGAAAATCATGAGCTGAATTAACAAGAAACAATAAATTCTAACATCCAAGCCAATAAACAAATATTGTAACAGTAGACATTAATTAAGGATATACATTTCCTTTTTTTTTTATTGATAATTAAAAAAAAAATTTCCCGTAGAGAAATAAATTTAATCGTGGAACGAAATACAGCAATATAAAGAAACTGGTCACTGAAGACTTTTATCAAGAAATGAATGGAGCAATCTTCTCAAACATCAAAGAAAATCATGCTGTGGTACATAATTTTTGAACAAGAAGAAGGAAGAAAAATCTATGATTCTTTATTCCAGATGACAAATTAAATTGATTTAACAAAAAGGGTCTAAAATAAAAAAATAAAATAATTATACTCAAGAAAGCCAGCAAAGAGTCAAAGATGGAAACAGATCAAAACGCAGATAAACTTACTGTTGATGATAAAGGTTTCTTGATCAAAAACCCCTTGATTAGTCCTCAAATTACCCAAGAATCAATAACCATTTTGATAAAATAAATGCATGAAAAGAAAAGCTAAAAAACATCAAACAAACAAAAGAATGAAAGAAAAAGAGGAACTTGATAATAACCTTTGCTCTCTGAAGCCTCGAGAAAATCGCGTTCAAAATCTATGCCATGGTGATGGGGGTTTCATTTAAATAAAAGGGATAAAATCTTGAAAACATACATATATTACACAAACACAAGAGAATAACATCTATGTGTGTGCTCATGTGAGTGGGAATATGTATAATATATATATATAGAAGGAGAGAGAGAAGGGGGAAAAACCCACCTGGTTTCCTCCTCTAGAAACTGAAGAGAAATGAGGTTTTTTGAGTAAAAGAAAAAGAAGAGGACCCAAATGCAGTACACCTCTCTCCTCTCTTTCTCTCTCACAATTTCTGTGGGTGTTCTGTGTGCAGTACACCCCTCTCTCTCTCTCTCTCTCTCTCTCTGTACTCTACAGAGAGAGACGGTGAGCTTCTCACATACTGACATACAGCCTCTCTGTTTTCTTTTTTCTTTTTTTTTCTCTTCTCCCTTGTAATATTTACACATGGCGTGTAGGACTGTCGTAGTCTGTATGTATAAAAAATTTATGTTAAATACATGCCAAGAATGTACCAGACCGTATTTCTCCCCCATATTCACTTTAAGCTTTCTTTCGTATGAATTAAATCTAGATTTATTCTAAATTAAAATCAATAATTAATTTTCGTCACATATTTCATGAAATTTACAATAATTTAATCACTACTTTTTTCAGAGACAAAATATTATGAAAAATACATAAAAACAACGCAGGGCAAAAATTTTATAAATACCAATATAGAAAATATTAGATATGGCCCTTTAGTATTTAACCATTACAGAAATACTTTATGTTTCAAAAATAATATAAACCTTCAATGACGTCTGTTTTCCACACCTCGCCCTATTTGAGCCCCATTTTGGGATGAATCCCCGAGCCACGTTAAAAATTTTATTCTCATTCTTCTACTCATTTTTAACCACACATTTTTCAATAAAATAATATTTTTCATCACATCAATAATTTTTCCTTCATTTTCAACCACGCATTCTCCATCAATCTGCTATTTCAAAATAATGTGGCTCAAACACACTCGAAATGTGTTTTTGAATAGTGATTTTTTAAGAATGTGTAACTAAAAAATAAAGAAATTTTTTGAGATTAATCAATTTGGTCATTTCACAACCAAAAAAGCAATTCTACCATTATTTTATTTTTATTTTATTTTATTTTGTTTTTGAATATTGGAGCACTTATGTTTTGTTTAATTAAGAAAATTAACTCATTTATTATAATACCAAAAAGCATAATAAAGTAGAATTGAATAACAGCCAAAGCTTGGATTAATTTTCCATTCCCTTTTCTAGTCAATGTTTTAATAGTTTTTCTCTTTTCCTTTGAATAAGAAAGTTTATTTTCAAGATTATAGTTGAGTTGGAAATGTATATTTAATTTCGATGACACCACATTCTTTATTTATTGCACCATATTTTAATTTTACCTATAGTCCTCAACCTCTCGTTGAATTCTAATTTTCGACATTTCATTGGTTAGCACATCTCGTTATTGATGATAATTTTTGTCAAATATTCTGATTGCTTACTTTGAAACGACGAATATATTTTCGCACTTTTAAATGTATTGTTTTCTTAAAAATGTGATGAAAAAATTAATTTTTTTTACACCATCACAATGGACTTTTAAGATTGAAATCGTTATTAAAGACGAGGTGTGCTAATTAACAAAATGCTAAGAATAAGAATCCCTTGATAAAAGTTAAGGATATAAGTGATATAGTGAGCAAAGATTTAGGACCTTAAGTGAAAATAAAATATAGAGCAAAAATTAAAGTTTGTGGTGGAAATTTGGTTGCCCATTTTGGAATAAATAAATATCTTTCTAAAGGCTAATGGTGCAAATCGTCCCTTAAAGTTTGAGTGTGCTATGTTTTTTAGGACATATCGTTCTCAACCTGACATTTTGACCCTTGCTTTTGCGTTCCTTCACAAAAGTATGACCTCATTTTAGTTGCCCAGTTTTGCCGTTGAATGGGTGCGTCCCTCTCAACTTTTATAAGGACATTTTCGTCTGCCCACCAATATGTAAAGATCTTCCGGAAGAGACATTATAATTAGATGAACATATGCAAAAGGCACTCAGATCTTACAATTTTAACGATGAAATATATACAATTTTGTTATGAAGAAATGACTTATTTTTCCATTTGCTGTGATCTTACAACTCTGAACCATGGTGAGTAATATGTTGGGTATTTGTAAATTCTCGGTTAAAGGACAAATAATGTGTGCCGTTTGCTCTTCATGCTTTTAGTTTATTGTGTTATGAGTTTTTCGATTTTTTTTTTTTTTTTAATTTTGTGATTGGGGTTTTTGATTCACTGTTCATGCAATGTTGTGTTTAAAACTAGATTTGGACATTTTAGTCGAAATCAAACTTTCCGAATAGAAATTGAATCGGACTGGGTCACAATCAGTTCTTGGTTCCTTGACCAAAATCATGGGCACCCGAATGAAATCTATAAATTTAAAAACTATAATTTTGATAGTAATTTGTCTAAAACCATGTATTCTAACCATAAGAAATCTTGATTGACTCCTATATTTTTTACTCTCGCCTCACATCAGATTGTACCAAGCTGTAATTTAATTTTTGATATTTTAGTTCTCTTCTTTTTGTGGTTTTAAATCTCCGCTATTTTGAGTCATGCAATTGGATCTCTTAACTTCTTGAAGATTTCTTAGCTAGATTTTCTCACTTGCACAAATATTGTCGAGTAGTAGCATTTTATATATACGTATCGAAATGGTTTATATGAAAATATTTATTAAATGTGTGTGCGTGTGTAGGTAGGTAGAATCAAACTCGAACCTAAATTGACGGATCGAGTTTGAATTTGATTCCAATAATTACAAAGACACGAATAATTCCAATTACGAAATACCAAAATTACAGTGGATGATTCTGGGTATTAAAATATCTAGACCGATTCACTCCACTCCCAAGTCTATTTAAAGCCTCGTTTCAGTAAATGCAATCTTTGTTTATGGTATACAATATGACACTCTTAACAATTTTGATTCCAATATTATAAGATCAAGTGATCGACTGTAATATTTACTAGATCACAAATATACCAATAAAATGTCTTGAAGTTTAATAAATCGTGAAAGTCTAGATTTTTTATTATGTCATAAGTTACATGGCACGAGTCTATGACATCTGAGTACAATGTTCATGTAAAATTGACGACATCGAAAATATATGTCCGATGGAGTTGTATATATTCAAATTAAGTCTAGGAGTACTTTAATTTCTCTTTTACATTATTCTTTAGCAATTTGACAATATGTACGTGTACTTATTTTTAATTTATACTGTATATGTAGGTGTATAAGTATAGATTCGTACAAGTATAGTCTGTGATGTGAAATAAAGAAATACTCTTGAAAAGGTCGTTTTGATAAATAAAAGGAAAGTCTTTCATTTTTTGTTTCACTTTTGGGGAAATGATTTATCACACAACGACAAAGCTAAGTCCCGTGGGCTCCACTTTGTGTACTTTGATGTTTTTTAAAATGGAATATGAATGAAAACTGCCGGACCACCTTTCTTTTTTTCTTTTTCCTTTATTCTTTCTTTTTCTCTCTCCTTTTTTTTAAAAATAAAAAAATAATAATAAATCAACTTTGGCAATTGAATTTGCCGTTAGTTGTCCGTGTGTGGGGATGCATTGTTGATGGAACGGGCTTTAACAGGCCACGTTAGGTGTAGTAGACCATTTAGTTTAAATATAAAATGTTCTCTATCTTAATAAATTAATTCTTAAAATTATATTTAAAGAGATTTTAAATTTGGAGAATTAAACATACACTCTATAATTAAATACATTTAAAATATTTTAATTTTAAACAAAGGAAAATAATATAATAATTTTTTGGGAAACTAAAAAAATAAAAGATATGAAAAAATAATAAATATTTTTTAGCTCAATAAAATAAGTGTTCAATATAAAGAGTATATTGGAGTACTTAAAATTTTTTATTTTAAATTTATAGATAATCTCTAAATTGTAGATAACGCTATTTAAAAATAGATAGTCTCATGAAAATGCTCTTATCCTTTATCTAATCATGTACTTATTTTATCAGTTAACTTTAGATCAACCGTTTAACTTAAGATCAGTCATACTTTTATCACTAAATCGTTATTGAAGTTTAATTTGATCACATGTTTAATTTGTTTCATTCAAGTTATCTAACTCCAACTTTGTTGCAGTAATCGTGAGAATCGCTTCTATTGCTACGAC